GGATTCCCATTATATATCACTAATTATTACTTTCCATATTTCATCATGCTCCCTTTTGTTGGGAACACGGGAAAACAGGACTAAACAGCCATCATTTTTATATTCAAGCAAACCAGAAGGGGATGGTTTCTTGCTCAATGTTTCTAGACCCCCGTTTTGTTTAGCCTTTTTATGCCCATCAGGAACAGCGGCAATTGTGGATTCGGGGATATTTTAACGGTGAGGCAATGAGCAATAAGTTGCACTTGGCCCGCTAAAGAGATCCCAACAAACATCCAACGCAGGCAAGACGGGCTTGTCTTTGAGGGATTTCCCGTTGAAGCATTCAAAGATTGGGTGATGTGCGACAAGCGTCAGACATGCCGCCAATATATTATATAATACATTGCAGTGAGTTGTCAGACGCCCAATCCACTACAAAGCTTCAATGCTGCGAAATAAAGAATCAGGGACTGGTTTGGCTGGTCTTTGAGACCATCCCTCAGACTTGGAACCAACTTGCTTTCTCCATTTTTTCCTATAGAAGGCCGGTCACGACCTTTTCCTTGTTCGGCGGGCTTGGAGTAACCCAGTGGATTGAAGGCATGCTCATACCTGGCTGTGGCTGTAAGCGGGTCCAACAGCGATCCCTGGTTTGAGCGTGCTCAAAACCCGTGTTTGCCATCCAGGCACTACCTGGTTTGATGTGGGTTGTAGCAAGGGATATGGAAGCCATAGCCACCAAACATGCATTGAGAACACAAAGCGTGTCTACGCCGCAACAGAACAAGAGCTAATCCAGAGCGAGCCCTGCACGACGCTTCAGTCTGCCCTCCCGAGTCGCGCTGCCGTGTCTGTGCTTTGATCCATTGGAAAGGTAAAGCAAGCTCGTGAGTGTGCCTTGCTTGCAGATTCTAGATTTCCAATTTGTGGACAGCAACCCCCAGCTCATTGGCTCAAGTTGCTTTTCTTGGGACCTCCTAAAAGCAAAAAGTTTCCCTTTGCGTTGCTACCAAACAAAAGGGCGATCCCCAAAAGACACACCCAGTGTCCAAATAGTTTCTGTGTGCGTTGAGTGTGGTGCACCAGACGTCACTCTTCGTTTTGATGGTGGATCAACCATCATGGGCCCTGCATTGGTGCGCTTTGGTTTCATTTGTTTGGGCTGGTCTTGATGAAACCGCGTTTCAACTGTTTGGTGGCATGTTTGCTTCTCATGTTGAGCTGCGGCTGCAAATAAGATGCTGGCAATATAAGGGGCTGCATTTTTGCTAATGGTGTTCCCGGATAGCCACGATGAAATGTGACTTGAAAGCTCCCCATAACCTCAGCCATTCACCCCATTGTTGTTTATAGCCCCTTATACTTTCACCGTGTGTTGATTTGCTCTTTTTTATGCGAAGTTTCATTGCTGTTTGAAGGACCCCTAGTGCCTTGTCTGACGGAAGGAGGCTGGCTCTCGTTTGCATCGTTTTCTCGGGCCTCAGGCAAGGTTTGGTGCCCGGATTTTGATCCTTTGCCGGGGGGGCTTCTTGTTCCAATTTGCGATTCATGGTTTCCACAGATGTTTCTTGTCCTGATTCCATAGCCTGAGATGCTGTTAACTCATACTTTCTCATTTCCAGCACCTGGTGAGAAGATATAGTTTCATAATTTGTCTCCTTTTTAGTGGGTCAAACCATAACAGACAGGGGGAAACACCATGCCTTCATTTGCCCAGACGGATGTCCTTCAAGCAATGCACGAGCGAGCATAGCGCCAAGGCATGATTGGAGTCCTCGTGCGAAGCCAAGACTTCAAGGGGAGCGAAGAACACGAGCTTTGCGCCATCCCGAAAATGGTGCCCAAAATGCGGGCATTTCTCCATGGATCCGAAAACGGCATCTAATGAACGGGTTCCAGCTTGACATAGGACAAACATGTGGGTAGCATCCCAGAATCCATTTGTTAGAACCCATTTATATACATGGCTGGTCTCAAGGGTACAGCTCCGAAGGCCTGTTTTGGACCTGTTGGAAACAGATTGTGTTTTTTTCCATGAAACCTGCGAAACGTTGCGTCCGCGATACTTTGTACTTGGGAAAGGTCTTCATGACTTGGGAATTTGTTTCCCCACCCAGCTGAACAAGTTTTGTCCGGGGCTGGAAATGCCATGGGGTTTTGTTTGGGCCGGACGATAAGTGGGATCAATATTGAAATGCGTTTCATATTTTGTTGTGACTTGCTGGTGCTCAGCAGGGAATGAGGGAATGACCCCTCTAAACCATCCCTTGCGGGATCCCTGGGTTCATTGCTAAACCCCAGGTCCTTCCCTACTGAGCTGAACACCCACAAGTCTTAGAGGACTTACTTTTTTTCGCGGCACTCCCTTTTTTTGGTCCTATGTTAAATGGGGAATAGTGGCCATGTGCTGTGCTTGATTCCAGCAGGAAAATCACGGCAACGCTTCCCTTGAGATTTTGCTCGGTAGCTTGTCTCTCCTCTATCCGCAGATGCACTAGTCGAAGGACTGCCGCTGACACGGCTGATTGGAGCAACGGATATTCAAAGTAAGAGTGTGACTGTGTGTGTGTGTGTCTGTTTTTGGAGTGGGCATCCTTTTTACCTTGGTTTAAAGAGAAGCCGAAAGGAAGACACACGCACAATGTTGCTGTCCCCCTATTTTGGCACATAAGGTCACTTCCAGGGATGGAGCTGAGATTCGCTTGTACAGAAATCTTCCAAGCACCAAAGTCATGGATAGTATGGATCCTTCAAGGGCTTGCGCAACCAGCAGAATTTCCATGCGTGACAATGGACCGCATCAGCTTGGACCGCATATGTAGAAGAGGGTAGAAATGCAGGTTGCCTAGACATGTGACTTGGTCATGTTAAATACCAACTGAAGCTTATCATCTCATCGCAGAAGTCGCGCACGTGTGCTAATTGCTTACATCTTGGCACTTCGCCTAGTTGCTCAACTCGTTCTTGCTAACGAGAGCTGTGTCACGGCCACGAGCGCAAGCTCTTCGATGGATAGTGGAAGGCCCCCGGCATTTCTTGGCTCACACTGCTCCACGAGGCTCAAAGGACTGGGGCCATCTAGGGCCTTGACGGGGACTCGCCAAGAATCTTGACTGCTATTGGGTTGGATCTTTAGACTTTAACGTTTTGGGAAATCAAGTTGGGCTTTCCACTAAACTCCCCCAAAAAGCTAAAAACTTTTTGCAGGGGGGTCGTTGCAGCAACCAAGGAATGGGTGGATTGTTTCTTTCAGCTGGCGATACTTCCAGGCGAATCATGTCCCATTCTGTTTTCCGGGTAGCTGGTTCCCGATTGAATCCCAGGCTGCAGGTTGCCGTTTGTTGGAGCCAGGGTTTGAACCTCTCCTTTTGAAGCCAAATGGGAAGCCTATGCTCCCAGTTGCAAACCAAACCACCAATAGGGTCCCAGCTGCAGCCAGTGGTACCCTTTTTTCAACTTGTTTTTCGGGGAGGGTTCCCCTTCAAAGTCAACCAACCAAGAAAGGATGCCCTTTTTTCCCATGGAAATCCACTGGGTATCTGAGGGGTAGGTGAAGGCTTGTTCAAGATGCACCTGATTTTCGGGGAGCCTTGAGCCGAGAAAGGTTGTCTTTTCCATAGATTCGCCGAGAGCAACTTCCTCCCGCTTCTTCCAAGAAGAAGATCATGGTCGTGGCTCGTTGAAGACCAACCAACGACCATGCAGCTTTCAGAGCAGAAGTAATAGATGTGATTGTGTACATGTACAATAGAATTATATGTAATATAGGCATGTATACAAATAAACAACTGTATACATGTATACTAGTGCTACGCATAACTGTTGCATCAAAGTGAGTTTCCATAGGCACACGTACGCACTTCATGTATTTTTCGGATGCATCACTATCCGTGAATTATGAGTGCATAGACCTTCAGCTTCTGAAGCTGGCTGCATCCGGCTCTCAGCTTAGATCCCCGGGACACACGCGGAAACTCGCGCGGCGGGGCCGCGCTGCCAGTCGGAGTGGGAGAAAACAGCTACTGCAACCGGTGAAGTGTGTGGCTTGCGGGGTCCACACTGAACAACTGTATACGATTTTATGCATACGTACAAATTCGTACAACTAGATTATGTGGTTTATGTATATTATATGTATATGTGTCTGTACAATATATACACATCATGTTCTTGTGTACGTATCTATGTAACTACCTGGTTGACTCATACAAGTGCATGAACATATCAGCGTACATATTCATAAGTATATCACATATATATATATATACGTACCTGGGTACATGTTTGTACATACACTCGTTTGACACATGTTGGTATATGATAACATTACATCTGGAGGCCATCGGCAGCATATTCATGCTTCAGATGGGATGGCTTTGTGTGCGTGTTTGCATGTGTGCATGTGTGTGTGTGTGTGTGTGTCGCACAAGGGTTGATTCGGGTGATATTTTTATTTGGCGCCCGATGAAGAATACTGCTGGATGTTGCAACACATTCAGAGCGGTAAGGACGCTTTTCCTTTTCTGGGGTCTCCTTCAAATATAGTTTACATTAAAAAACTGGGGGTCTCCTTTAGAAGGGTAGTACCGAGCCTCGAAAAGAGACACGTGCACCCGCCTGGCCAGGGGAGAAAGGGGACACTTAGGGGCTGTCAAAGATATGAACAGGACGTGAGCAGAGCTTCAGATTGAAAACCAGTATGTCAGATGGTGGTGGTTCCGGTTTTAGTGTGGAATCGATCCAATGTCAGAGTTTTCCAGAGACGGAGTTTTCCCCTCTGTTCCCTTTTAAGGGCACCAAACAAAATATCCCGAAGCAAAGACATGTCGCACGTTGTCACACGGTCTAAATAACACATGCATGAACCTACAGGAAGTTCCATGGGAAGTTGGCCATTGTTTCAACCCGGAAGCCATCTATTTTCCACCAATGTTCCGTACATGTCGGTCCTTGCGTCGTCCAGGCGGTGCCTGGATGTGTGCTTTCACAAGTTCTGCGACACTGCTCAGCTCGTCGCGATGGACGCTCGGCAGAGGGAAGACGGCTTGGAGTGAAAGAGTTCCCTTTGCTGGGTCTCCGTCCAAAAACAAACAGTGCTTTTGGGTTGGGTAAATATGAAACAGAATCTGAGGTGCATTTTGCTCGGATGTCAGGACTTTAACATTTTGCTGTTTGCCAACTAATGGGCTTTCCATTAAGCCACCAAAAGTTAATCTTTCAGCAGGGGAGCAGAAAGCAACCGAGGAATCTGAGCAAGCATATTCTGTGTAATCTGGACGTGGGCCACGTTTTGAGCGGAAAAGGAGCCGAACAAAGGCCATCGTTCCATTCGCGCTTGCTTTTGCCAGTTGAACAACCCTGCTACTGGTCATGACGGTTTTCTCTAAACCCAACAGGAGAACACAAAACAAGAACACCTGCAAATGGAAGGTTCAACTGGTTGTTTCACTTCCAACGAATTCCTGGTCTTTTTGCAATTTCTTCAGATTGAAAAGGCCGTGAAGTGAGCTGAGCCTGTTTCCGGTAGGGATAGATTCCCTCTAGACCCAACAAGGGAACAATTAGAGAAAAATACATGTCAGCAAATGGAAGCGGTTGGTCTTCCCCGTATTGCCAACAAGGAAACATAACATAGTGACAAGCAAATGCAGTTGGTCTTCTCTTGGGAAAGTTGGAGGTCGGCAATTTAGCACGCAGACCCATTGTAATGCATCCCATTGGTTTCCAGGAGAAGGCGGCCTGGGAGGCAGGGACCTTGGGTTCACGCGAGCCACGATTCGCCGTTTTGACGGGAGCACGAAGCCCAGAAGTGGTTTGGGGGTGACAACATCCTTAGCCGCAATACCATCAGACGTCTAGAACTTTGGGGGATGCATCACACATCCCATAACAATCTGCCTTTTTTAGCAAGGTTGCCCACAACTAGGTTTATGTGTTCGCTTTCCCCTGCTCTCCCTTTTTAGGGGGGTCTGCAAGAAAAGGTTGTTCCGTTGTATAACACTGTTATTTTACACCTATAGCAACCTGAGTTTCCCGGGAAGATGTCGAGCAAATTGCAACCCGCATCTCGACATGGAAGTACAGGTCACCCAAAACCCAAAACGGGTGGGTCCCCCAAGCAACCCCAACGTGTACGAAAACAAATCTCCCAGCCAAAGGCTTTCCGAATCAAACCTCAGTTCCTTTGTGCGAAGGGAGCAACCCAGTTTCAGGAAGTCAGGAACCCAACTCTGTGTGCTTGAGCAAAAAACACCTGATGAATGACCCACTCGATTTAAGCAACCCTGACCATGAAATGAGTACATTTTTTTTTGTTGGTCTCCCCCCCCTCCAAAAAGTAGTTGAACAATGAGTAGTCGAAGCCTCCGAAATGCCACAATTCTATCCGTAGAAGGCCCTGACACATGACTGTTCGCTTAAACTTACAACATATTGAATTTGTTGCTTCTTTGGCATCTTGGAGCAACCCAGTTTGAGGCTTGAAAGAACCCCGAAAATAGCTGATGTGCGTTTGGGTTGCCTCCCCCTCCTAAACGAAAAGAACAACAACAAGACGCAAAGGGAGATTTCATCCGAGCTCAACTCCCCCCGAAACAAAAACAATCAAAGAGGAACAAAGAAACAAGCAACACAGGGCGAGTTCAACTTCCCCCCCCCCAAACAAAAAGCAGAGGAGAAAAGCAACAACAATAATATAAACATAGATAAGTAGAATAAAGCAATACTATTACGTATATGCATGCAACCCCCCCCCCCCCAATGGACCCTGGTTTTAGTGCCTTTTGGGGATGGCAAATCTAGAATCTCGAGATTCTCGAAGTTTCCAATTGTGGGTCCCCAAAGCCAGCCCGGAGTCCAAATATGATACCCTTTCCACATAGGATTCTACTGCAACTAGAATTGGATTTTTGAAAATCGTTTAGTCAGGATATCGTTTTCAAACACGTGTGTATGTTCAGTTACAGCTTAAATCAGCAAATCCTTTCCAACAAAGAGCTACATGAAAATGTAAATAGAGTTTTGGGTAAACTCCAACTAATCTTTAACAACAGAAGTTAGATAGGAGTTTATTCCCAAATATAATCTAAGTGTTAAATGTAATCTAATGCGAACACAATTCAATTAGCCTTTGACAAAAGCAATTAAATAAAGACTACTTCTCAAATGTAATTCATGTATCAAATATGGTTTCACATTTAAGGGACTTTTACAAGGAAACTCGAAATCCGATTTGTGTTATTTACATTCAGGCCCTTTTGTAGCATCAGAAAGGTCCGAAATTGAAAGTGTCAGACAGTGTTCCAAAGGGACATGTCAAGGGAAGAGGGGTTCAAATTCTAGGGATTCTGGCTAAATCAGTTGTATTTGAACTTCTATTTGCACAGGAAAACTAGATTCATTCTATCTCAAAGGTGGAGGTAGTAGATGAACAAATGTGGACAGGTAGTTCAAGAGGGGGGGGGGTGACGGTGTGTGAACATACGTACATATGTACGTGGATATATATATATATATATATAATATGTATTTATACACATACCTACATACACACCCGCACACATATATATATATATAACCCCTAATGATCCTGCGCCTCTTCATGCACCATGGAAAATACAAAATGTTTCAGCATTACACCTACCTTTGTTTACCTCCTGGAAAAGGGTCAACATGAGCATAGCTGACATGGAGCAACCTGCTCGCCAATAGCACTTGAAAGTTTGTCGAACTAATAACTTGAAATATTTTCTACTGGAACGCTAAGCACTTGAACGTATTTTAACACTGGATGGAAGATTCAAAATTGAAGATTACGCAGAAAGACTTGATGATAATTATCAATCCTGGCCAAACCCAAACAGCACTCAAGTTCTTTTAGCGCTTGAAAGTGCTTTATGACTGGATTGAGGAATCAGTATTGAGGATAGAAACAACAGCTTTCCTTTCAATCATCCATCCTGGTCAACCCCTAGAAATGTTCAAGTTGTTCTAAAACCTCGAACGGATTTTACCACTGGATTGAAGATTCGAGATTGACAAATTTCACGGAAAGCTTCTCCGATAATCGTATTATTGAATTCCGAGAGTATTGGGACAACCCTGAAATGTTGTAAACAATTAAATTATGGGATTCAAGATTCAAGGATCAAGATTCCCAGAACATATTTTCTCATATTCTTGAATATAGAATCCATATTTCAATCAAGAACAAGTCAGGGATTCAAGATTCAATATTCCCAGAACATATGTTATTAGATTATTGTTTCTTTAATCTTGAATCCAGGATGTGTTAAAAATCTGAGTGGTTCTAAAACTCTTGGATGCATTCAAGCTCTTTCAGATTGCAGATGCTGATGTCATTGCTGTTGTCACACGTGTATGCATGCTTGCAATACACATATACACATATGTCACCCCCTAATTTTGACACATCATCCATGAAGCAAACGAAGGCATGACACACTGGAAACATAAAGGTCAAACGCACCAAACCAGGGTCATTGGGGGGGGGTACCATCTATATATATATATATACATATTTCAACAGCAAACAACATATGGGTTGGTCAACAAAAAAACATGTGTTTTGCTTGGCATGGCTCGTTTTACCCTCGACAGGAGCAGCAGCTGAAGGCGCAGGAGCGCCAGGCCCTCGCCACCACTGCCGCACCTCGGCTCTCCCTGGTTGGACTGGATATACCGAGCTCACCGATTCGGAGGTAGAACGAGTTCACCTCTTCCATTTGCTTAGGAATATTTGTTATTTTCCCTTGTTGGTTTTAAAAGGACTTTTTTTCACTACCGGACATATTTTTGTTGTTTTTCCCAGGGTCTTAATCAAGAAAAGTAGGTCCTTCACTTGGGGATTCCAGTCCTTGGAATTGTAGTAATATTCAGCTTGAATTTTAGGAGCGAATTCCTGTACCCAAGAAACCCTGGTTTCTGAGGTTTCCGCTGTAAGTACCAAGAAACGTTATGGCTTCCCCTGGTTTCAAAGTGGTGTAGGATTTCGCTCATCCACAGTATCAGGGGCTGTCCCTGGTTTTAGTGGCCATATGCACAGAGGTTTATTAATCTGGGGTGAGTCAACATTAGGCCCCCAACGTTTGTGGGGCACCCCTTTTTGGGTGGTTCCAACCTGCGCAGAGGGATGGGTCGAAAGCCACCAAATGCCTTTGCGCTCCAGAAATAGTCTGTTTTTTTTGGCAGTCATTTAAAACCACTCTGAAGGGCCGGGCCCCTCAACAAAGACATCCATATCATATGAACGGGTCCCTATTTGGGGACCTTAGCACACACACACGGGGAGAATGGGTGGTTTTCGAAGCGAAGGATGGTGAAGATAATGGTCATCTTAGATACACGAGCATCGGTCCAGGCTTCCTGTTATCTACGGTAACGGGATGCCATGGGTCACAGGCTACTCACCAATGGACACAGTGAATCTTCAGTGGGCACCAGAGAATTGATTAAGGTTAACATCGGATTCACCTCGAGAAGCCTAGTCAGAGGACCCACTAAGATATAGATAATTTCCCTTGTAAAAGGGGAAATTCACACGACCAGGTGCGACGTTTGGCGCAAGTGGGATCCAAGGTACTCGGAACGCTGGCAACAACTCTGACGGTGGGCTTAGGCGCCGGGCCGATTGCCCTCTTGGGTTTCTTCATTTCCTCTTTAATTAGACAGGGCTCCTTAAAAGATACATGTTGTCCATTTGAAACATGGCTTTTTCCACCAAAATAAGGGGACACCACCATTGACAAAGCAATACAATGTAAGGATCCCTGTTAGGCAATTTTGTTTGCAGTCTAAGGCTGGCCAAGGATAATGAAACAATTGGATTCCAGGTTGCCATTGTTTTTTAATGAGGCGCAGCCCACGTATGCAACGGGGTACCTACTCAGCTAGCTCTTGCTCTAAGCAAACTGCGACCAAGGTGACCAAGGTGAGTCCGACTTTCCAAGCATGGTCCCTTAACATCCAGAATCCCATACAATGATGGAGTTTTCAGCTCACAGATGCATGTCTGACGGAAGATTGAGGGGTCAAACCCCCACTTGGGCGAGGCGACATGGGAACAATCCGCTATGCGCTGCACAAAATGAAAGACGAATGAAAAGGTTGCCAATTTCTACGAGCGCAGTTGGCAGATTGCCTGAGTTTGAAAATGATTTGGGTGAGTTATAAAGCGACGCCATGTTCGGTTATTGTAATTTACCGAGATTTGATGAATGATAATTTGCATTTGACGTGGGCACAGTTTGACCCCACATTCGCCAATCCACCGACCAGTTTTGCTTTGCACTATTCTCCGAATCATAACCGAGGGAGTAGTCCCCGGAATATGCAGCCCAATAGAATGCGACAGGATTGTTTCGCAAAGCATCGGCGCAGATGAGTCGCCGGAGGCTGCTACCTCTTCCGCGGCGGCGACGACTGAGGGAAATGACATGTTGAGAGCAGCTGTGCTAGCGAGAGCACGGGCTGCGCTCTCAATGATCAGAATGACCGTTATTGGGAGAGGAAATCACACATGTTTTGGGTGCCCCTATTTTAAGACGCTACTGCTGAGATGGCTTGCTACTTATTGGTGAATTATGAATTATGAATAGGACTTGGGTTTACTTTTGACGGCAAATACATGTTTGGCACTAGTGGATGCGCCTGCAGGTGTGTCCCAATGTTGGCGACCCTCTTTCATTGGTGGTTTGTTTACGATTTGTCCCCTTGCACATACATAATCATACATGGATTGTGTATATATATATATATACACATAGAGACACACACACACATGTACTTCAAGCAAAACATATGCAGGCATGCAGAATATGCCAGACGGGTTGGAGCTCGGCGCGGTGGCAAACTGGAACAAGTTGCGCAGCGGCGAGGCAAAGAGGCGGACATCTTCCCGGCGGGTCCCTTACCTTTTGAGGACGGAAAGGGAGTGATTTGTTACAGCGGTTATCAAACGGTTTTGTAACGGGGTGTTTATAATGGCTTTTGTGTCAGGGGGTCATTTGTTAAATTTGTGCCTAGAGTCTCCATGACCCTTTAAAAATGGGGTCATTACCCTAAAAATAATGGGGTCATGAACCTATTTTTAAAGTGTCATGGAGACTCCAGGTAGTTTTTGTTTCTTTTCGGTTTTTGAGATTGATCGAAGTCAGAGACAGGAGCGTTTCTCTGAAAGTTCTACCGACGGCGACGCTTTTGGTGCTTTTGATGCTGAATTCTTGGGGCCAGTACCTCATATTTAAAAAAAATAAATATTTTGTTTACGGGGACCATAGGGTTTAGTGTCCACGGCTTTGAGGTTTTCGAGATGTATGTTTTCCTTGTGGTTGCTCTTGTACTGGTACATGGCATGTGTAACATTGTCTTGTGTGGTTTTGTTCCAGAAGAAAAGCAACAACTACGTGGGGATGATCTTATGATATAGGCATGGATACACACATCTGGTTCCTGGTGCAAACCTACATGGTGATGACCCGGATGTGTACTTGCTTGCTGGCACTGACCTTCTGCCGCATGTCAGGTGCGGAACTGGGGCCATGATTCGTGTTTTTTTCGGGCTAGCTGGGAGGTCTGCGGAACTCCAGGCAGGAACTTGATGGGCCGTAAAGAGAGTTGCGAGGTTTGAACAGAGGAGAAATGGGTACCTGGAGTCTCCATCACCCTTTAGAAATAGGTCCATGACCCCATTATTTAGGGTAATTAATGACCCCTTTTGTTAAGGGTCATGGAGACGCTAGGTAGAACATGAAATGCCGTTAAACGTCTTCCTATCGTTTCTTAGGGGACGCATTCCATGCGACCAACCCTGAGGAACTGAGGGGCCAAGGAGGGCTCTATTGAGGCCACAGGCGGTTTCCACAGTCCATCATTTTGCTGCAGGCTAGGGTGGTCAAGGCCAACTGCCCCTGGCAAGAAATCCAGGTGTGCTACCTGTTGTGATCTCTTGGCTTGGTTTTTTCGTTGGTGTCGATGCCCCTCCGCAGGTCAACTACGGCGGCCGCGTGACGGACGACAAGGCCAGATGATCTTTTTTAGTCAGTCGCCTGGTGGAGGGTAAAACACAAGCTCACCTCTTGTTTGGAGAATCCTTATGTTCGCTTTGTGAAACACTGTATTTTTCCCAGAGTGCACAGCGTGTTTGTAGAGTTCTGAAGGAAACTCAAAGGAAGCTGAACCCGATTTGGGGGGGATTGAGCTGAACTGGCGGTTGAACGACCTCATGCGTATTTTATTTCATCGCGAATTCAGGTTGGCAAAGTGTGTAGGTGCGGCGCTTGAAATTCTCCATTTCAAATGATGAAAGAAAAACCGCCTTTATCCCCATCCAAATCCACTGCAAAGGCGGGCTGGGCGTAGCTTCTGCGAGCAGAATGTTAATGAATACTTAATTTAACTCGCAGGTCGGCTTAATGTAGGGTAACCCCCATTCAACCTCCGTTCCCCTAGTCTAGTGAAGCCTTATTTACCCCTAGTTCGCGTGGACTTAACCCGCAGTCGATCCTTGATCTGGAAGCCTTCGTTACAACATGGCTGGCGCCCATAGCCACGTATTTTGGCCAATTTAGGAAGGGTGATGGTGAGTTTCATTTTGCCTGTCTCCACTTTAAGCTTTTTTGTTTGTTTTGTGTTTCTCTGTTGTCTTTTTTTCTGTTGTCATGTTTCTTTCTCATTTGAGTCTGGCTGGGATTTTCTTTTGAACTTCCATGACAGTTTTAGTTACAGGTTTACTGACTATGAGCCAGGCTTCAATCTTACTTTCGGTTGGGGGCAAAAGCTGTTGCCAGTTGTTGCCAGTCAACCCAGCAGGTCAGCCATTATCAACAGGAGGGAGCCTGCTCAATTTGGAGGTCTGGGGATGTGTGGGGTATTACATGCAAGCCTTGCTCCCGATTCAAGCAGCGGGAGCTTTGTTGGATGCAGAATGCAGGCATGAGCTTCAGAGAATCACAAGTAACAAACAAAATCCCACAAAACGAAGCAAGCACAAGTGCGAGATTTGGATTTCGGAATGGACAAGGTGGAACTACGACCACAAAGTTCAGGTGGCAAGCCTGGAAGCCTTGCTTAGGGCGTGATTCCTTCTATTCAATTAAGGTCTTTGCAAACACAACAGCTGTTTCCCGTTAGTCTTTGGCGGTTTTCCACAACGCAGGATCCCTGAAAAAGAGTGGGCAGGCATCAGTCAAAGATAGGGGGACTCCGAAAAAAAAAAAAGGAAGAAATAAATCAAATGGTGGTGTCCTTTGTATTTCCCTTTGCAGGAACCTTAAAACGGGACCCATAAAACATGAGACAGCCCCAACACCTGGAAGTTACGACACAGCAAACACCGGCACCCCAGAACCCAAGTGGATCGAGCCAACGCTTGACGTGAGGACGTGCGCCTCATTAGCGCCTTCCTGAAACGCTACTTCAACGAAGGTGTCGGGTGCCCCAGTCAACTTCCATTTGAGTGGCATAATAATTCCTTGTTTTCCCATATTTTCACCTGTTCGATGTAGAGGGAATCTATCACGACTGGAAAAATAGTCGTACTCTTGGCCAGCGGACTTAAGCAATTGGAGGTCAATCAAGGGAACAGTCAGGTACCGGTAATGCAGCAGCGCTCTTTCTATTACCCTTGTTGGTGGCTTTTGCCTTTGACCTTCTCTGTTTGGCAAATTTCAGGACAGTTTTCGTTGGTGGGGGTGTGATGTTTCAAATGCAATACATGGGACTCCTGCTCAAGGGTCTGAACTGGAAACATTCTCCCACGCTTACGAGGTGATTTGGTTAGATGGTGCCCCACAACGCCATGCTATACCGTAGGTTTCATGCTGAGTTCTTGTTTTTAGATAATAGATAACAAGTTCTGTTATCCTCCCTCCCACTAACATAGCACCTGTGGAAGAGCACCTGGAAGATCAATCTCCTCTTGTAAGGGCCTCCTCTCATGTGCCATGTTGGTGGGAGGGAGGGAATACCTTTTCAATGACTGGCGTAAAAAGGTGTCGCGACAGATGTCAGCACAGCCCGTGACGGGACGGGGTGAACTCCCAGGATGACAGTCTTGTGTACGGAATTGCCTCCGTGGGCTTCAATTGAAATCCTTCCATTTCCGCAAGAAGTGTTTTCCGACTGTTGGCTGAAGCGCCTGCAAATAGTGTTCTTTTCCATGGGGACTTAAGCTCAAGCCAGGCCCATCTACAAGCAAAAGATATCGTCGAGTTTCTCGCAGAGTTGGCTGCCGGTTAAAATACGGCGTCGGATGAATATGATGGATACAGTCTGTTGCCACCGGATCGCCAGTTGCATGCGGTACGCAGGTTCCAAGTCCAACACCAATGCCGGCGTTCAAGTCAAATTTACCTCAGGGTTCCGGTTTTGGATTGGTTTAACAGGCAGATGCTGGTTTGCTGGTTGCCTTCCATGGTGCACTGGGCAAGCCATTACGAACCTACGGGGTTTGGAGGCACTTCACCAGCCATGAGCCAAAAAGCTTCACAAAGGCGGGGAAAGGTTAAGAAAGGAACCCACGATGTGGAGGGATCCCTTATGATGGCTGGCCTTGTAGCCCCCTAGACAACTAGTCAGTGGTGCACTCAAAATCAGACTGCTTCATGTGGCACGCTTACTTTCCGAAAGCTGCACGCGGACTTCGCAACGCGAGTCGCGCAGGAACTTTGAGTTCAAAACTTGAACCGCATAGGTAGACGAAGGCGCTTTCATGCTGACATGTAGCTCATAGTATTTGCACATGGCGTAGGCAAGGGTCGGGCACGTCACTGGCCTTCCCTTACCAAAGCTTGTCCATTACACCTACAGAAGGGTAGAAACATGGCACGCAAGGGCTGGCCAGGTGCTGCAAGATGGGTACAAGCTCAGCCCGTTGAACGCTTACACCTGCCCTGACGAGGGCTCTTTGGAGGAGGTGCGGTCCTTGTTTTCACTTGTTGAAAAAGCTAAGCGAATCGTTGTACTTGCAGTATATGGGCAAATTGTAATGATGCCTCTACAGGGCTTTGCGACCCATGAAGGTTTCTGTCATAGGGATCCTGATGGTCTTGCCCAGACGTCACTTGGCAACTGCCGCTAGCACCAATAGGCTGCAGTGGATCCCTTTGCGGCTCGGAGGCGGACTTGCTAAGCTTCAGTTTCCTTCACGAAAGATCGATCAGGGTAAGCGGCAAGCGCCTAAAAATATATGGTATGAATGTGATGTTCAATGGGCACCCCCTCAAAAGTGGGCGGACATCAATCCGCACCTAAATGGTACTAGGGGCAAGGGGGCCCTAATCAAAAACTCGTATCCGTATTAGTTGTAACATATTGTGCCTGGCTTGTATCACTGCATAATATTCCCTGGCTACATAACCTGAGTAGCAACACCCCTTTACCTCGCGTTTCACACTCAAGGAAGTAGCGGGGGCAAAAAGGGGTGCCCCTGATGTATACCTTATAGTGAGAACCCCAAATGAATAAATCCCTGGTTGATGAATCACACCTTTTGCTTTTGGCAAGAGATCAACGGACCAAGTGTTTGTTCATTCTTCGGTGCTGCTCGTTGTAAGTGGGGGTCTGCAAAGAACATTCAGTTGCCGGTTGGGAAGGCTTGTGCTTGAACCTTGGGGTTGGTACCCGACTGCAGGCATGGTTCACCTGAGTAATGTTGGGTCTTGGGACAGTCGCGGGGCCCTCAATAGTGGCAAAGGGGGGGTCTGGGTTGGGCTGGGGGAGTCTTGGTTACGGTGTGGGCTGGGCCAGCGTGGCTAACTCTTGCTTGCGCAGAATTCTGTTTTTTTTTGGGGAGGTGGGGGACCAAAAGCTGTGTGTTATTGAAGACACCAAAACAGTCGCAGGGTCTTGACCCAAGGAACAAAGTTTTTACAAAAGAGGGTTTAACGCCAATGTATACACCTGACCTGAGGTTCATTTACCCCACGCTTCGTGACTATCGTTCTTGCATAACCAGCCCTTCTCCCTGGACAGGATGGGGGAAGGCACCCTTAGCCTGGCAGGTGCGACTCTTCCCTGCGCCTCGATGCTCTTTTGTGGGCTGGGGGCGGGTGTGCTGGACACTTGGGGTCTGTTTTGCAGCCACCCTTTGCTTTTCTCAGTTGTCCAAAACCATCTTTTATAGGTTCCAAAAGGGCAGGCAAGTTCATGGCATGCCATGGCACGCAAATCAGATCTGAATCCCAGCCAGGTCCGGGAGCACGTGCGGAAGCTGCCGATGGATGAAGATCCCCAGGCAGAGTCTGTCATGCCCACCGGCGTTTACCACCAGGTTGAAGGACCTTTTTGATCGGCCTTAGAGGGTTTCAGTCAACTGGGGTAGAAATAGAATACATTTTACATTTTTCCAGGGACTCCATGTGAAGCAAACCAAAAAATGTACACTAGACCACGGTTGGCCCGAAAGCATAACATCGCAAGCGAGGTCGGCCTAACGCTGCCGGATGCGTTCTTTTTCCCTACACGAAGCATTCGTGAAGCAAGCGCGAGACGGCTGCATGTTGGTCCCTGCAAGTGGCTCCCTGCAAGTTGCTCTGTGCAAATTGCTCCGTGCAAGTTGCTCCCTGCAAGTTGCTCTGTGCAAGCTGCTCTGTGCAAGTTGCTCTGTGCAAGTTGCTCTGCGTAAGATGCTCGTTGCTCTAGGCAAGGCGCTCTGCGCAAACTGGTCGGCGCAAGTTGGTCTGCGCAAGTTGCTCTGTGCAACTTGCTCTGCGCAAGTTGCTCTGCGCAAGTTGCTTTATGCAAGTTGCATCTCGCGACGCCCTCCCGCAGAGAGGAATCGAGCCCGCGACCCGCCGACCAGTTCGAACAACAAAAGTCGCAAAAACCTCGACCACGCCGATTCCCGCAGAGGGTTGTGCGAGCACCGCAGAAATCGCAAAAAACCTCGAGTTTTTGCACCTCGACCACGCCGATCCCCGCAGAGGGTCGCGCGGGAACTATAGAAATCGAAAAAAACCATGGGTTTTTGCACCTCGACCACGCCGATCCCCGCAGAGGGTCGCGCGAGCATGTTAAAAAAATCACAAAAACCCTCAAGTTTTTGCACCTCGACCACGCCGATCCCCGCAGAGGGTCGCGCGGAAACTTTAGAAATCGTAAAACAAATACACGGGTTTTTGCACCTCGACCACGCCGATCCCCGCAGAGGGTCGCGCGAGCCCAAACAAAATCGCAAAAAACCTCGAGTTTTTGCACCTCGACCACGCCGATCTCCGCAGAGGGTCGATTTTCGTGTAGTGTCGTCGGCACTACCCCGCCGCCCTAAGAAGAGATTGTAACTCCTCGCAAGTCAATTGCACTTGACTCCTTGCACTTGCAACTTGCACTTGACTCCTTGCACTTGCAACTTGCACTTGACTCCATGCACTTGCAACTTGCACTTGACTCCTTGCACTTGCAACTTGCACTTGACTCCATGCGCTTGGCTCCTTGCAGCTCGCAATGACTCTCATGACTCCTTGCAATGACTCCTTGCAATGGCTCCTTGCAATGACTCCTTGCAATGACTCCTTGCAAGGACTCCTTGCAATGACTCCTTGCAATGACTCTTTGCAATGACTCCTTGCAATGTCTCCTTGCAATGACTCTCATGACTCCTTGCAATGACTCCTTGCAATGACTCCTTGCAATGACTCCTTGCAGTGACTCCTTGCAGTGACTCCTTGCAATGACTCCTTGCAATGACTCCTTGCAATGACTCCTTGCCATGACTCCTTGCCATGACTCCTTGCAATGACTCCTTGCCATGGCTCCTTGCAATGACTCCTTGCAATGACTCCTTGCAATGACTCCTTGCAATGACTCTCATGATGATGATTCCTTGCAATGACTCCTTGCAATGACTCCTTGCAATGACTCCTTGCAATGAGTTTCATGATGATGATTCCTTGCAATGACACCTTGTAATGGCTCTCATGAGAACAACTCAAGTGAACCCAGCGGAAGAACCCTTCGCCATGCTTTCGGGAATTCTATAACTGGGCCTAACTCTAATCATGTCAAGATCACCGCTAGTCCATGGTTTGGAGCACGCCGCCACCCGGATGTGCCGCGAGTCCGGCGCACGCGTCACAACCAAAACCCTGAGACGCATCGAAGTCATAGCTAATGCTTTCCTGCGTGCGCCGGGGCCCTGCTTGTCGCGATGCCGTTCCGCGCTCGCGCCATGACTTGGCACGCTCCGAAACAGCCGGCTTCCCAAGGAGGCGTGATGAGCTCCAGGTTCCCCACAAAAGAGCGGGCGAAACCTGCGTTTAATTGTCACGGTCCGGGGGACAGTCGTAAGTTTAACTTCCATTTGGTTAAGATTTGTTTTTCCACCCGGTTGGTTTTAAAGGGAATCTATCACTACTGGATTTTTTTAAGTATATTTTCCAGGGGACTCAAGCAACTGGAGGTGAACCATGGCTCAAGTGGACCGGAGGGCTACGATGACGGTAAGTCCCCGGATCCCGCGGGTACCTTATGGCAGTTGCTTTCTTTTTTGGGAGTCTTTTTTGGAAGGGGGGGGCTGGATATGGGTACGTCTTTTAAATAGGTAGCTCACAACAAATGGGTGGCATCCTTTCCCTTCAATTCCACTCCAAAAGGGCTTTCCATGCATACTACTTTTGGTTGGTTTTTTTCTCCACTAGACAACTCATCAGACCGAGAAAGCCTGTATACGAGTTTCTTCTAAAAGCGAGGGGCGTGAGTCCAAGGGATGCTTGGGGTTCGGGTTCCTGGAGCTTTGGACCCCTGACCGGTGCTTGTTGTTTGCGGTGTCCCTTCTCCAAACAAAGCCTGAAATATCCAGATGACACGTAGAAGCGAGATCACCGGTCCGGTCACCAGTGGTGCAGGTCCCTTACCATGGCTGGTCTTTGATGTGACCAAATCGCCCCGTCGACCTTTTGAACACTTAAATGTGTTGATTTGTTTCCATTAAAACTACAAGAAACAAAAGGCTAGACCTCTTGCTCAGAGAGAAGAGCAACCCAATCACTCGGGGATTCCCTTTCCGGTTTGGGGAGTTGTAGCTATTTTTCACCATCTTTTGGGTAGGCCCTTTGCTTCATGAAGTCATGAACCTTGTAGGTGAAACGGGGTTCGGGTTCCTGTGCTAGGCCTTCAGCACCTGCTTTTTTGAGCAATTCCTTCGCTCCTTCCGAAAAAGGCCTAGAAAACCGCGGAACAAAGTTGGTCGGTCAATCAGGGCACCAAACAGTATGAACCGGAATTAAGTACTTCCACTCTTCAACTGACCGATCAATCCTCTCACCACCAATTTGGCGACCCTTCCCTGCCGCACCTCTTTTGGCCAGATCCATTCCTCCCCCCGAATCTCCCCACCCCCCCCGAAAACCCTCTCCCGGAGGTCTTCGGTCTTCACCCCAACGCCCAGATCACCGCGCAGACGGAGGCAGCTTCCGATTCGAGAGTTTGCCTGAGTCAAGGATATCCACAAACAAGAAACGATTCAGTATAGAGATGAACCTTTTGGGAACGTCAATGTTGGTGTTTGCACCGACTTTGACCAAGACACTGAAGTGAGTAACTACCTATGACTTTTGCCAACCCAAAGTTGAACTTACACCCTACCCAGGGCTCTTAGAACTTAGAACTAGGCATTGTTTTGGTTTGCCAACCCATGCTCTTCAGCCAGTGCTACCCTTTGGGGTGACCACTGGCTTGGGTTGGGATTTGGTTTAGCCATCCAGACATTTGGTTTCCGCATGTTGCCTCGAGAAGCGGATTGGTCATGACTTTGTCCCCCTATTTGGACACATACCCAGATGATGTTCGTTAGTGTTTGCCCCGAATACTAATCCCGATGTGATTGTTTGCTCATTATCGGGGCAAGGGGATTTTTCCTTGGTGGCTGCCTCTACCAAACATGTTTTCCCCCGTGTTTTTTACATGTCTTTTGGCTTTGGGGCTCGGGCTCGGGCTCGGGGTTGGTGCCTGGCAAAGCCTCAGGAAGCGCGGAAGTTTCTGGACATCATCCTCTCGGTGCAGCCGCGGATCGCCTCGGCGGGCCAAGTGCGGCCCGAGCAGATCATCTCGGAGATGGCCGAGGCCCACCGACCGCTGGCCCACGCGGCGTCGGATCCGATGTTCGGGTCGAGGCGTTGACCCGAAGGCTGGTTTTTTTCCCAACCTGGTGGCTCAACCGGCCATGTGTTTCAACTTATCTTAAAGAAAAAAAAAGTTTTTTTTTTGGTTAGGTGGTTGGGTTCCATTTCACCCACTGAAAGTCAAACTTTTAGCAGGGGATCTGAGGGCAGCCCAGTTACGGGTAGACCAAATGGGTGTGGCTCAAAATCAAAGAGCTAGAGCAAACCGCAAGGTTTAGTCTGTTTCATTTACCAAGGTGCCATTTTGGGCTCCGTTTGATTGAGCCAGCCAAATATGAAACTGAATCAGAAGATATGATTTTCTGTGTACCCCATCTTGGTTCTCTACATTTGGACCACAGGGAATTCCCCAAAATGGCGGCTGTGCCTTTCATTGATCTTTAAGCCATGGGGAGAAGGGTGCCCTCAAAACAACTCATGCCCACATGAACATGCCAACCATCTAACCAGATGATCTGAACTGAAGACAGACCTGAAAATGAACCTCTCTGCTTAGGGGGGTCCGTTGTCTCCTGACATCAGAGATGCTTACCTGCCGAAAATGAACATTGCAATGCAAAAAAACTTGTAGCGCAGTACATACCCCTGATACAAGTTTCATACAAGCTCCATCCCTCCAACGCCCATGGTTGGAAAGTCCCTTGAAAGATCCCGTGGTTTTCAATTCGTGGGGCGAGACGGGGTAGGTGGATGTGTGCTTTTGCCCTTTGTTGGGTTGGTTTAGAAACCAAGACTGGGTGGCTGCAAAAACTGGTTCTCTTGGCAAACCTGCCATCCAAAGAGGCGTGCCCGATATTGTTGGGAAGCAACGTCCCATGTCCTTACAGCAGTTGCTCTTAGTTTGGCACCAATCGCCAAGGCGAAATCACTTGGTGCCTGCTACGCTCGCATTTGGATGTTGCTTCCAACAGTGGGGTGCTTTCCCATTTTTAAGAGTACGTTGAGGGCTGAGGTATTTTGTTGCTAGGGGTTGACCTTCTTCCCAGTTCGGGTTGAACTTGAATAGGCTCCCTTGCTTCCCCATTATCTTCACTCATCCTGGTCAGAGGCCGTTTTTGCAGAAGGTGAGGGGGTACGAACAAGGCGCAACCAAATCCTAAACGTACTCCCCCTCAGGCCCCTCACGACTAAACATGGTTTTGACTTCATTCCCCGCAACCCCGTTACAATGATTCATGGCACTTATTAGGTTTTTTTTGGTTTTCAAGACGTTTTGCTTGACTTTTGGGCTTTTCCCCTGAAGCCTTAGGGTGATCTTCCCTGGTCCTTCGGCCATGCGGCCCAGTAGGGAATCGGATCCGACGCCGGCCAGGGCTTTTTGGAGCGGGTGCCCAAAGTCATGAGTCGCAAGGAGGCCAGTCCCGAGACGCCGGGGACCCCCGGAGGGTGCCTGGTGCCGGGCCCCGGAGGGTGCCGGGAGCCATCGAAATTCGAAAGCGAAGGGGCAGTTCGCCATGGGAAGTCTGGAAGCAATAAGAAGACTAGAAGATATGATGATTTTCCCCTGGTGTTAAAGGGAATCTATCACTACTGGATGTATTTGTTGTTGTTTTTTTTGAGATGAAAAAGCAAGTAGAGGGTGTCACCCACGAAAGAGAAGGATTTCCACTCAAAGGATTTCCTGAAAGGACAGCACTGTGTGCCTGTTGAAACGAGAATGAAGGACATCCAAGGCGAACAGATCTCCAATGGGCTTCTCCCAGTCGCGCCCTTAAACTTGTGACTTGAGTTTTAACGGATTTCCGCAGTACAAGTTTGGCAAGGGATCAACGAACCATTAAGCAAGCTGTTTGCGCTTTTGCCCTTGGGACTTTCATAGTTGTCCTTGCCGGAAAAGAGTCCTCTTGTTGGCGGAAAAGGCACTTGCCGGACAAACGAACACATGGGAAATTCAATCAAAGCTCGCCTGTGTTGGTGCAGCGTGTGTAGGCTTGGCCTCCGCTTGGGCTACTGGTGCTAGTGTACACACTTGCCTGCAAACACGGGGCCAACCTTCCGCGGAGCTTCCACGAACCTTCCGCAAAATCAGCTGGCTGTTTTGGTCCACTTGGCCTGATGTTGGCAACTGCTCTTCTAGTAAGCGTTGTGCTTCTTATACTGTAATTCATCGTTTCTGTGTGCTTTTCCATGCAGACAAACCACAAAGCTTCCGCAAACCTTCCGCGAAAGAAACCTTTTTTCGCGGAAGCCGTCCGCATGTTTCCGTGTTCAAGAGCAATGTCCGCCTCCCTACTAATTTAGCTTGCAGGCAAAAAACACCGCGATTGAATTAAATAAACAACAGGTTGCGAGAAGGATAAAACAAACACCAAGTTCTACTAAGAACCAATTAAGCAAACACGAAAATCCATGAACAACAAACATGCATTCTCATAACTTGTGCTTTGCGAGAGACCTGTTGGTGTGGTCCGTTTTCGCAGCTTCTTTCGTATCTTTGGCTTCGCAGCCGATTCGGGCAACCCTGCTTCGTCAAGTGAAAAACAAGACTGTGTATACATGTCTTACATCTTTGAACCTGAAAGAAAAAGACCGGTTAGCCAACCCAAGGTTAATCCTGGGCTCCCATACGCCCATGTTGTCTTGTCACTTTTGTCTCGAGCAGAATGTTTTTCCCCAACAATTTTGAAGCTGTTCGGTTCCCTTCTGTCCTTGCACCTCTACACCTGGTTTTCAGGACAGGGTTTTGCGGCGCGAACCTTTGGGGCAAAATGTTGGCTTGGCCTTGGGGGCAAGCCACGAAAAAAACCACTCCATGGGGGGCATGTGCCTTTATGGGTGAACTTTTTGGAGTATTAAAGGGACACCAAAAGAACAACTACCATTTTGGGTTTCCAGACTCTAAATCCTGATATGGCACGTTTCCAGTTTTTCCCAGTCTTGAGTGACTGCGTGTCTCTTTGAGTTTGGTTCGCGTTTTGGAGGGTGAAACAAGGAGAAGCCGGAGCCCATTTTCCAGGTTGCCGCATTTAGAAACAAACCTAGTTGCCCCTTTTGACACTGACATCCATTTTCCAGGTTGCCGCATTTAGAAACAAACCTAGTTGCCCCTTTTGACACTGACATCCGACTCTTCAGGATCCTTCTATCAAGAGTGCGGAGGTCATACAAAACTTATATACCACTTGCACTGATTGTGGCACACATGCCCTCCTGACACGCCTCCAATCAACAAGCTGGAAGGTTATGAGCCTGGGGTTAACACCAGGGCTCCTTAAAAGATCTCCATTTTGCCCATTTGAAACATGGCTTTTTCGGCCAAGACAAAGGGAAACCGCCATGTACAAGGCAATGTTCAGGTGCATATAATCAGGAAGCCAGCATAGATAATGTGAGGATCCCTGAACATAGGAGCGAGTTGGACTATTTGCGGGGTCAGATCGAATGCCCTGCACCATACAAACCCAGTGGATCAGCTACTCCTATAATAGGTACTTCCCCACCCTCAAAAACAACAAAAACGGACAAGTTAAAACACGTAGAGATACACATCCTCAGTTACTCCAAAGGTAGCTACCCCCCGAAAAAGCAGAAGATTAAAACACTTAGAGATACATATCCTGGCTGAGTACCTGCTGTCGTACCATGGCTTCCCTGTACCTGGGCAAGTGTCTGCGGTTTCCGAAATTCAGTCGAGGTACAAAAAGACGGAAGATGGCGGCATCATCTCGCTGGGTGTTTTTCATGGTCAGGCCAGACACCGTTTCGTTGGGATGGGATGCATTGCTCAGTTTCGAGCGACAAACACACTGGCAGACTGACTGACTTGTTTTGTTTCCCGTGTTATGTTTACATAAACCCAGAATCAGAAGCGAGCAAACTTTGTGCGCGGGGGTATGAGTGTGACTGAGAACAGTGTGATGCGACAAGTAGAATATATGCTGGGCCGAGGGGGGTCCTGCAAAATCAGATTGTTCACACATACATCATACATACATAGATACATACATACATCCATACATCCATACATCCATACATCCATACATCCATACATCCATACATCCATACATCAATACATCCATACATCCATACATCCATACATCCATACATCCATACATCCATACATCCATACATCCATACATCCATACATCCATGCATCCATGCATCCATACATCCATACATCCATGCATCCATGCATCCATGCATCCATGCATCCATGCATCCATGCATCCATGCATCCATGCATCCATGCATCCATGCATCCATGCATTCATGCATCCATGCATCCATGCATCCATGCATCCATACATCCATACATGCATACATGTATACATGCATAGATACATAGATAGATAGATATATAGATAGATAGATAGATAGATAGATAGATAGATAGATAGATAGATAGATAGATAGATAGATAGATAGATAGATAGATAGATAGATACATAGATACATAGATACATACATCCATACATGCATCCATACATGCATGCATGCATACATACATGCATACATACATCCATACATCCACACATCCATACATCCATGCATCCATACATTCATACATGCATACATGCATACATTCATACATGCATACATGCATACATGCATACATGCATAGATGCATAGATACAAACATACATACATACATACATACATACATAGATACATACATACATACATACATACATACATACATACATACATACATACATACATACATACATACATACTTAGATAGATAGATAGATAGATAGATAGATACATACATACATACATACTTAGATAGATAGATAGATACATACATACATGCATACATAGTTACATACATGCATACATACATACATGCATACATAGACACACACACACACAAACACGCGTGTGTGAGTGTATGTTTTCCAACAGGCCCGACTGGCCCATGTGGATCGAGTTCAGCTTGCCGTTTTGGTAAACAATTGCCGTGTGCCTGGAATAAAATTCAAAACGCATCCCCACCGTCTTAGCAGGGTCGATATCAACTTAGGTGAGATCTTGAATCCCGAGGTCTGTAGAAACTATAGTGAAAGATGAGCAGCGGGAAACACATGACTCGGTCCAAAAAATGTGTTGCATGCTGTTGCCGTGTTTTTCCTTTGCATTGGCAAACAAGACTTGCGGATTATTGAGCATCAATTGTCCTTGGTCGAATAAATTTGTTGCGAAGATCAATTAGAGCCTGCCCCAAAAGGGAAGTCTCGTCAAGGGAAAGTTGACCGGAGACCGGTTGTTCCTTTGCAACCCCAGGGAAAGCATCCAAGGGCAGGATCGCCTTAATGAGTTGTTTGAATTATGACTTATATGATTCACTTTCAGACTTTACAGCTGGAAAATCATATATCAATAACAACACAATCCCTCATAATTAGTGAATTATGAAATTCTCAGTGAACCTCACTTGCCCCTAGCTGGACTCGAACTTTAATCTGTTGGTGTCCCTTGGTCCCTGTTCAGTCAAGGTTCGAACAGGTGATCACCTTTCATTGGTCGTTGGGACGGTATCCTAGGAGATGGATCGCTTCAACGCGCTCATTGGCTGCGCCGGGTCGACCCGGTCGCCGGGCCTTGGGGGAGGTCCGTTGAGACGAGTCAAGGTTGTCATCATGTTTCTCAGAATGGAACCGCAACGCTGGGGTCTCAGCCAGACATATTTTGGTGTGTTTCCTCTTTTTTTTGTTAGGGCAGGCTACGGAACAGAAGCTGAAGGTATCATTCTTGGAGCGCCCCAGATGTGGGCAGACTACAACCTCTGACGAGGATGTTGCTCTTCTCTTTTGGCACAGGCTCAAAGTCAAACCCAGCACTGGTTCTGAGGGATTGCGGCGTCAGAATGGACAGGGGCTACCAGGGCATTCAATGCTACTCTGCACCGCCCCCCAATGCACGCCGCAGGGAAATGCTTCACTATGTGTTCCGGTAGCTTTCCCAGCGCTTCCAGTCACCCCTACTGAGATTTGTGCGTGTGCTTTCGGAGGGGAAGCAGGAGCTGCAAATAAGATCCTTTGAACTTGAGTATCTCAGAGCCATGTTCTGCACACAAGATCCAGCAGAAACTCATGCTCGATCTACCCCATTGACATGGTGTTGAATGGTCATGAGCCTAGTGTTTTGAGACGTGTATTGCTTCGCAGTAAATGACACATTGACCCACATGGCCAGTTTTGTCAGTTGTGAGGCAGGAGTCGGACCTGCCCTCCAACTTTTCAGCACCGGCGAGGTGTTCCACCATGTTGCCCTGTGCAAAGCCGGACAGGTGTGAGAACTGCCATGTACATTCATATCATACACATACCTCGGTCTTCCCTGGGCACTTTTTCCGGTATTTTCCATGTTTCGAGCGAGCAGACAAAAAACTCATTTCACCCAAGAACGCTCAAATAGAAAAACACACACGCTCAATTGGATAATTGTTCTGGTGTGTGTTTGCAAATGTCCGTTCATTTCCCGCTGATTTCCGCTCATTTTCCGGGAGACAACTTACCAACTCAAGGTTTCCGCTCATTTCATATTTTTCCGCCCAAAGTCTAAAAAGGCACACATGCCCAGAGCCCCACAAAGTGACCAAACGGAAGACCTAGATGTATGCCGTATACAGATATTATGAGTGTGTCTTTTTTGAGGTTTCCCTGAAAACAGGAAAAACACATATACATGTCTGCTGATACAAGTCATGTAGCCTGTTTTTTTAGTTCTGCCGGGCGAGGTGCAATCCACTCTGATCACCTTGGGCAAGGCCATCCGGGGCTTAGTGGTGATGTCTGCGCAGCTGGAGGAGCGAGTGAGAGCGAGCAGAGACGAACAGAGACCCAGCGCAGTAGGAGGGTCTGGGCAGAACAAATCCGCTTGAATAGGCCTCGGTTTGTCCTTTTTCTCCTTGAACCCGAAACCCTAGACCCTGCACGAATTGTTTTTTTGTTTGATTGCTTGTTTCCTTTTCTGATAGTTGTTGTTGTGATACTCTGGTTTTTGTCTGGGGCTTGTTCCCCTGACTGCTTAGCCTTTGCAAGCTGAGTGGAGCTGACTAGTTGTTTCATGTGTGTCCTGCTCTCGGTTTGTGTTTGTGCTTCCTTTTTCTGATTCTCCGTTTCCTTTCTTCGCCCCTTGTTACCCGTTCAACGCCAAGTCCGGCTAGCCAGCTCATACTCCTGTTTGCTGTTTTGCTGTTTGGGGCTGACCGTTGGTGTGACCGTAAGGCTTTGACTTTTTGTGGAACCGGGGGCGGGTTCCATTCAACCTTGTTTTGAAACCTTGTGCTGGGAGAATGGCGTTTCGCCTCCTCCCCCCCTTTTTTGTTTGTTCTTGGGGTCGGGGGAAGAGTAAAGGGAGCCCCCGTGAGGCTTGCCACACCCCAAGGAGGTGATGTTCATCCGAAGGTACATTTTCTTTGGGAGCTCCCACCCACCACACTGCTACTCAGTGGCTTCCCACCCCCACAATGGGCCCTTTTTTGAACCACTGAACAACGAGCAATGCATAGAGCTTTAGGTGCAGGGGTGTTTTCTCTTCCACAAGGAAAACCCAAGCATGTAGCCACATATGAACTCTTTTCTTCAGAGTGCCCAGAGGCTCCGCGGCTCCGCGCCAGGAGATGTACCATGCCTTCCTCCTTCAGAAGCTCCCGCCGAACTGGGCAGAGGCGCCATCTGGGCGTAGGGCGCAAGCCAATGGTCAGTGGCTGTGGTGGTCAAAACCGTTTTGGGATCCCATGTGGTTGGTAAGTGAATTCACCACCCATTTTAGAACCTATTTTAGTGGGGATTGGGATGTTCACTGGGGTACGGACTTTTGACCCATGGCCATACATGAGCTTAAATTGTGTGTGTGTGTATTTTTTAGGGGACCCCCCCCCCAAGGGGGCAACATGAACGGCAATAACCTGCAAAGGCGTCCTGTCGACTCTGTCTGGTCTTAAGAGCTTTGTGTTTGCCAGTAAATTCAGTGCCTCGAAAAATGGTCACCTCTAGGTTTACATGATGGTTTCCCTGGTCACCTGTTATATAATAATAGTAGCTGGACGCACTGGGGAAATGGCCTTCCCAAATTTGCATCAGAACAACTTTGGGACGTGAGGTGTGGTTTCTGTCTAAGGAATTCGTACACCTTCAGGCTTCAAAGGACGCTGGATGCGGCGATGCTGACCCTCGCTCCCTTTGTGAGGAGGTCCCTTTAGTGTCCTCAAAGAAGGGTTTGGAAGCAAACCATAAACGGAAACTGTTCAGATGAAATGAAAGAGAACAGCACTATTCAAAGTGGTGTTCGTGCCCCAGGCTAGTAGATGTATTTGCGTGCCTCCGGATTGATCGTTCCGTGTATCGAACGCATGCGCGTGTTCCGTTTGTAGTTTGCATGGTTGTTTGTCCGTTTGTTTGTTTGTTTGTTTGGTTGTTTGTTTGTTTTGTTTGTTTGTTTGCTTGTTTGCATTTTGTTTGTTTCTGTGTTTGTTTGTGTGTTTGTGTGTGTTGTGTGTATTTTGTTTGAGTTGTTTAATGTGTGTAGTTTGTTTGTTTATTTCACTCTGTGGTTGATAGTATATTCATGGTTCAGCCTTGTTTGTGTGTTTTGTTTGTTTTGTTTGTGTGCTTGTGTGGTCCTGTTTTGTCCTGTGTTGTCTTGTCTTGTCTGGTTCAGTTTGGTTTGGTTTGGTCTGTTTGTCTGTGTGTTTGTTGGTTTCTTGCTTGCTTGCTTGCCTGCCTGTCCGTTTGTCTGGTTGTTTGTATGTCGACCTGCCTGTGTTTGCGTTGTTTGTCCGTTTGCTTGGTGGTTTGTGAATTTGGCTGGTATTCTGTGCGAAGGATATGCTCTTTCTGTCGTCATTTACTGTCTTCTTTGTTGTCTTATGTTTTGTTCTTCTGAGTGTTTGTTTGTTTCTTATGTTTTGTGTTTCGTTGTTTCATCGTTTCTGCGTTTCAGTATTTCTTTGTTTGTTATTTGCTTGTTCTCCTGTGTGTGTTGTTCTTGTGCTTGTCTGGTGGTGCTGGTGGTTAAGTTGGCGTGTGTGTGTGTGTGTGTGTTTGTATTTGCGCGCATGCCTGCTTGCATGCATCATGAGTGCGTGCTTGCTTGCTTTCCTTGCGTTCCTTGCCTTGCTTCGCTTTCCTTGCTTCGCTTTGCTTTGCTTCGCTTCGCTTTGCTTTGCTTGCTTTCTTGTTTGTTTGCGTGTTTGTGTGTGTGTGTGTTTGTTTGCGTGTTTGTATGTTTCTTTCATTCTGTCTTCCCTTATTTCTGTTCTTCTTTCTTGCTTGCTGTCTTTTTCTTTCTTTGTGCTGTCTCTTGCTCGCAGAACAGACAGCTGCTACGTAGTTTGCCTCGTGGGGAACTGACTTCTCGCTTCAGGTGGCCTACCCCTGCCTGAAGCCGCTGAACTCGTGGTTCACCGACTTCGAGGCGGTCCACCCATAGAGCCACCGGTTGGAACCCCTTTTTTGCGGTTTTGGGGGGAACCAAAAGGAAGCTCTCATATTGCCATGGGTCAAAAGCCCGTGCCCCCAGTGAACATCCCAATCCCCACTCAAATAGACTAAAATGGGTGGTGCGCCTACCCCAAAATGGTACCAGTGGTTTTGACCCACAGCCATATCTTTTTGCGGGTCATCTACAAACAGACCCCTATATGTTTGTTTCATGTCCCGTTCTTTGTTGTTAAAGGGAAGAACCCTGGTGGGTTGTGAAGAGACGCCAAAAGGACACACCCTGATATCTGGCCACAGCAGGACCCTAGATGTTTGTTTCATGGTCACTTCTTGGTGTTTGAAGGGAAGCTATCACTGCTGGACATATGTTCCCATTTCTGCCGCGGGGACCTAAGCAAATGGAAGGGCACAAGTACACTACAGGTACACTCCAGGTACGCTCCAGGAGTAGTGGAAGGCTTTTAGAAGGAAGCCAGAAGGCACACAGAAGATTTGGAGAGGCTCCTACCTTTGACAAAGGGCCACTTTGAGTCAGGAGGGAAGCGCTTTCGACATTTGGGCCTAGGTCCCCCAGTGCCCTTTCTCACCCCTTTTTGGTTGGGAGGGTTCCCCTACTAAAATAGGCTACAGAAAAAAAGGGTACCCTTATTGTAACCTCTCTACTGGCGGACGTAGGTGCTATTGTGAACCACAGCACGGTGGATGACTAGCCATGGTTGTGTGCCCCCGCCTGTTTATGGAATGCCCCCCCCACTGGTTCATGAAATGCCTCTCTCACATGACACCTGTTCTCCCTGAATATCAGGGGAGAGCTTAGGACCCGCTGAAAAGGTTAGATTTGGGGCCTTTGTTTTTCCCCTGGACAATCGAAGCTTGATTCCAAAAGGGCATGTCCTTTGGTTGGAGGTTCCTTTTTTTGGGGGTCGTTTCCGATTTTCGCTTGGATTAGGATCATTCCAGGTGTCCTGGAGCCCATTCTCCAAGCCTTTTTGCGGCATCCCAAAATGGGGAGCGCAACGATTCAGAATGGGCGCACCCTTTTCTTAGGCCCCTTAGAAGCCTGCGCTTCTTTCCGGGTGCTACATTGTTAGAGGGGTAGCAGAACCGCGGTGAGGGAGGGGGCGGGGGGCAACAGCTCGAGATTTACGGAAATCCTGATCGCCTCTCGTGTCTCAGGGTTAAGTTTTGACTTGGACCTGACATGGACCCAGTTCAAATGAGGAGTCCCTCTATCAGTAGGATGCAACACAGGTAAACTACCAATGTTTCCTGTATCGCAAAAGGGTCGTTGTGCGCCCACGGTGGGCTTTAAGGCCGGATTTACATGGAACCCACAAAACCTTCGGATTTCATGCTGTACATGGGAATAACGTCTAGATAATATTTAGTTTAACGACAACGAACACAATGGAAGCTGTTTCCTCGGGACAACTCAATCCAATGTGCTTTTCTGGCTACCCTATTGGAAGGGAATTATTGCCTCAAAGTCATTGGCGTGTTCTCTCAAATGCGGAACTTCTGTGTCAGAAGGCCCCCTGGCCCCTTTGAGGGATTTGTCAAGTACTGTTCAGGCACCCCTTCCGTGGTACACCAATCTTCCACGTTGACATGCGAATTGACGGTGACTCATATATGCTGGTCTTTTTTTGATACCCCTTGTTGGGAAACCAAGAGGCCAACCACCAATTTTCTGGGTCCAGTACAAAAGACGCACTCATCAGATGGGTCCTTTGGATTGGTCGAGACCAGATCGCCATGAGGAGCGCATCGCCTTCATGGGGCGTTGGCTCCGGGAGGGGCCTCCAGCCTCCTTCTGGGCAGGGACGCCCAGCCTCTGAGTGGGTGAAAACCACTCACGCCTTCCGTTTTCGCTTCGGATTGCTGTCTACATTTATTTGCGCCTGCATTTGCGCAATTGACAAGGTTCAAGATTGTCAGGACCCTAGATCTTGAATCTTAAGTCCAGTATGGGGCTTTAAAGCGTCTTGGGGTCTAAGATTCAAGATTCCAGCCTTCCAGGACTCTAGGTCTTCAATCTTGACGCGACGAAGCCGCTTTGAAGCGCTTTCATCTAGGTAGCTCGCGCATTCAAGAACAAGAGTCCGATCCAAAAGTGCGTCAACGCACTTCAAAGCAATCTGGGGGGGGGGGCCATATTGGATTGGATTAAAGCTTCAAGATCTAAAGTCCTGAAAGTCTGGAATCTTGAATCTTGTGTCCAAAAGTGCTTTGAAGCGCATTGAAGCGTTTTGGGGGCCCCGCATTGGATTCAAGATTCAAGATCTAGAGACTCTTGAATCTTAGGCCAAAAATTGTCTTCAAGCGCATTGAAGCATTTTTCACTCCCTATACTGGATTCAAGATTCATTCAACATTTAGAGCCGCAAATTGTGAATTTCCAATCTTAGATTCAAAAGTGTATTCAAGCGTTTTAAAACATTTGGTTTTAGGCTGGGTTGTGCACCTTAAGGCTTACTATCCTGATGGACTCAAGCGCGGCAAATACAATTGACAGTGTGGTGGCGGCTTCATTCTTAAAACACTGACTACCTGGACATTGGAAAGACACTGTATATCCAAGTGTTGTGCCGAACAGATCTCATTCAGGGAAATGAGTTGTTCTAGCAAACAGCTTGGCATTGGTCAAGGCGTATAGCTTTTTTCAGCAGATAGTATCAGCCTTGTTTGTGAGCCGGCTGAAGGGGATTTGCATATGAGTTGAGATGAGAGACGGAAGATGCGTAGGCGAAGCAGAAGACGTATTGTGTGCTTTATTTTGCTACCCTTGCACCGGTACCCTTGCAGAGGTGTCTTACAGTCAACTGATGGAGAATAATTTTTTTCAATGACAACGACAAACACAATGAATATAGAAGCAGTTCAACGTTAAATATACGAGCGTATGACGATGTGAATTCGAAAGCATATGTTTGACTGTTGACTGACATGTTTGAAAACTTCAGAGATGTATGAAAGCCCTAGCTGCGCATTATCACACTACCTAACTTCGCTTTTGCACTTTTCCCACCTTTGCTTCCGGTGCCATGTTCAAATTCACTGGTGTTGAAATATATTACTGAAAGATATCTGCAGGAAGAATGGCACAGACAACCTGCAATAAAGTAGAAGTAAGAACTTAAATAGGTGGCAACAGTTTTAGTGAGTCATCTGCGTCAGCCTACCAACATTGCTGAGTGAGCCCACTTATGGTAGCATCTGTCTAAATGACCTGACTTCCCTTCGGGGGATGGCGTGTATATATATATATATATCGCATGGATGCAGCACTTGACGGACGCATGCCTTCCGTCTCGCGCTTGAGGTGCCCTGCTTCTACTTCCCGCAGGGCTTCATGACCTGCGCCAAGCAGGCCGCGCGGATGCATTTCCCTGGCGCAGAAGGGACGAAGGGCTGCTAGGCTTCGCCCTTTCGGGTGAATTCGGGTGTCTCGTTTTTTTGAGGGTGCCTTGCTTGGGCGCGTTTTAAAGGGAAGCGTACCTGTTTTGGGGATTCTCCAAGAGACAAGCCCTTTGGGTGGTTTTGAAGCATCGCCTTTTTCGGCCGGTTTCGGCCCAGGAGAAATCTCCGTGGATTCCGGCGGGATGTTCCCGGCTTTCTTCAGGAAGCTGAACCAAAAAAGGAGGCCCTGTTTCATCTCAACAACAGCCCTGCTGGCCAAACGATCAAGGAAATACGAAGCTGATTTAGGCACCCCCCCCTCATAAAGCAGGGGGGGTTCGGATGCGTCCGTTTTGGGTTATTCTGTTCAAGTGGTTGCTTTCTGAGGGGGGTTCCATTGAAACCCACCATTTAGAGTCGGCAATTTAGAAGATGTCACTTTGACACATTTGAGAACTGACGAAACCGCGGGTAGAAGGGTAGAGAAGCATGCTTCTGTTCTCGCAGTGGGTATTGGGCATTGGGTCAGAGTTCTTTGGTTTCTCCTGGGGCCAACATATTTGGGCAAGCCGGTCGGGGCACCCTCCCCATGTCAATGGTATTTTTAGGGAGACGGGTTTTGGAGGTATGGATGCTTACATACCACCACCATAAGCTTGTAAGGCAGTATATACGCCTCATATACAAGTTGTATACAACCTTCGTACTTCCAAAACCATTCCCTGAAATGCCCTTGACCGTGGATTGTTTGACGGTACAAAGGCCTTTGCGTGGGTTCAGCAACCTTAGTGTGGGCGAACAGCTCCTATTACCCCACTCACCGTCAAAACGAGCGAAATCCATGATGTAAACCCTTTCCTTGGAGGTCCAGTACTTATGCTCCGTTCGCCTGACAACCAGGTGACACATCCTCCCAGGGCCAGGTCTTCTGTTTGCAATTCATAAGCAGATCGGTCAGAGCTCCCATGCAGAAGCTTAGGTGCACGCACGGAAGACCAAGATCCCCATCGACGCCCCGCGCTGAGAAATTCGAGCTATCCTTTTTCCTGAGAGCCCTGGAGTAGTCATGGAGCCCTGTCGTCATCTAGAGTAAGTATGAAACCCTTGTTATTATTTCAGGTTGTTCTCGTTTGGTGGGGCCCAAGTAGAAGCTGAAACTGTTGAAATCCCAGGATTTGAGCAGCGGACCTAGGTTGCAGTTGAGTTTTCTGCGGGACACAGGCTGCACGGGACATCCGCAGCACTCTGCAGACATTAACATTGCAGTTCACGCTGCATGGGTTCCATGTGCGATATTGGGCTCTTACAAACTGGCATTTGCCTTGGGAAGGCGGGCCTTTTGAACCCTTTTGGGGAGGTGTGATACATCAAGCAATCGGGCGTGTTTTAAAGGGATCTTTCTGTCTGGATGTGTTGATGTTGGGGTTGTTTGTTGAATGACTCTCCCCTTGAAGCCGAGGGATCGGACGGGCATGTGGCAAACAAATACTTGTCCGTTCTGTGCGTGTGGTTCCCGAATTGCGCCATTGCCAAAGTACTCCTGTACCAAGGATGGCAATATGCATAGATGGGTGTGTCTTTTTTCAAGACACCCCCGACTTTCCTTTTGAGTTTGTTCATGGCTCCCTTGGCATTGCCGACCTTGGACCCTGTGTTTAAGTCACAGTTTGGTTGATCCCACCCTGCAGGGAACAGCCGGGGGAAGACATTGGAACAGCCAGGAGAAGCCACTGGAACAGCCGGGGGAAGCCATTGGAAGCCGGCGGAAAATTCGCGAGGCCTTGGTCTTTTGGCAAGAGCCCTCCAGCTGCACGGACGCCTTGGCAGCCACGCTGCCCGCCTTCGCCTCAGAACCGGAAGTTACAAGCGGCTCACATCCTCCAGGACGTGAGCTGAGTGGCTCATGCGCCTGGAGGTGAAGAGGGTGGATTTCCCCTTACAGTTGCTGGTGAGTTCCTTGAGCATTGCACACTTGAGGTCCAAAGAAGAGGAAACAGTCCGGACCCCTGTCAAAATCAAGTTTTGTGTTTGGGTTCAGAAACTCCACGCGTTTCGCTTTTGTTCTGGGTCAGGAGGAGTAGATTTGGGTGGCTTGTCGAATGCTGATTTTTCCAGGCTCGGTGCCCTTAAAAACTGGTTGAATCCAAAGGGAAGCCACCCATTTCGTTTCATACAACAAATTCATTTGAAGCCGTGGCAAGGGAAGAGCCAATGGGAAGGACGTTCATGGCCCTCAGTGTCCTCCTTCAGTGGTTTTCAATCACTGTTGAATTTGGACTATGCCTATTGATAAAGTGGTTGCATGTTGGCGGTTCTCGAAATAGTGCGCTGATGTTGTCAGAGCGACTTTGTAGACAGGTATCACTCATGCCTTTGGTGTGGCTTTAGCCCTTTGGATGTTTTGGAACCAAATGGCGTGTCCGTTAGACCTACAAGAGGTTAGACCTTTTGCTCAGCCAACCAAACCAATCAACCAGCCAGCCACACAGCCAGCCAGCCAATCACCACGAGGAAACCACGCATCCAGGCACGAGAAAGAGCCAGAACCGCCCGCCATCCGGGCTATCAACAGCCAGCCCTCTATCCGACCAATCTGAATGCCAACCCACCAATGAGGCGGATGGCGTGAACGTGCACGGCTTCTTCCTGCAGGCAACGGGCGAATGTTTTTTTGTTTGGTTCCACCACCAAAGATATTTGGTTCCACCGAGTTCCACCACCAAAGATAACCCGGTCCAGCGCTTGGTTGTACGAGCTATGGCTACGAGGTAGGAAGGTCAGTAGATGAGCAGTTGACCAAAATGAAAAACATTTATAGCAACTTTACAAAGGGAGGTGCGACCCTACCTCTGTTGAGAGTTCTTTCTTCAGGGTTCCTTCTTTCAGATGGGTGCATGACTGGTCTTTCATGTGACAAGCAAATGGCTTTGCATACACCTACAAAAAGGTGAAGCAACTCATTTACCTGATGCATTGTTGCTTGCTGCGAAGAACTGCTGCCGCAGGGTGCGGGCTGGGATGTGAAGAAGGTCAAGATGGTGGAGTCGGAGAAGGTGCGGCAGTGTCGATTTGAACTGCACCATGATTTGGCGTTTCTTCGCGTTCCCCAGCAATTGCTGGATTCATTCAGTGGCCGGCGGGAGATATAGGTGGGGAAAGCAAAAGGAGCCATTTAGTTCTTGTTCATCTTGTGTTTTTGGATGATGCATTGTCCCGCTGTAAGGAGGAGAGAGATACGGTCCGCTCGCATTGTTCTGTGGGCCTTCACTCCTCCGTGTGAGAGCTAATATTGGATGCAACAGTTTGGGGTTCAAACATGTTTGAGCAAGGGAGCTGTCCTCGCCCTGAATCCTATGCTTATGGCTGGGCTGAGTTGTTGGGTACGTTTTGTGCACCCCCGCAAGCTCACTTGGTCCATTTTAGCGGTAACCATCACTTCCAGTTCCCACACTAGAAGGTAACCAGGGTTTACCTCTAGGATTTTCATGACGGGTTCCCCTGGTGACTGGAAGCCTTGGATGAAATTTCAGGTGTTTTTTTTGCCAAGAGATGTGGTTTGGTTTGCTCGAAGTTTTCTTTTGCCAGGCGGAATTGTTCAAGGAGGTGCCGGTCACATGGATCCAAGTGGTGGAGGAGGCCGACTCGGTCCCTCGGTGCCGTCGCCATGGAGGAATTCGCTTGGGGCCCTATGGCTCTGGGAGGGTACTTGACTAAGACAGACTCGCCCCCCACCACACCCTCCCCCTGAACACTGGACGCGCTTAACAAAAATAGAATAGCGGCCCACCAAAATTGGGAGATCGAAACAATGGAGGACCTGGAGGAGCCCAATGGAGGACTTTGGTCTTGCAGCCACTTTTTGCTGAAACGTAGCAGCGGGCCGCTTCAAACGTAAAAGCAAGACGCAGAGTGGGGGCTGGGGGGCTGAGGGAAGGGCACTTTGCTAGTCCACTTCAACAGTGGCCCTTGGGTTTAGGGCGTTGTCTGGCGCCCTTGCCGTGCTTTTGTTTTTGTTTTTTTTGATTTCTCAAACAATGATGAGTAAAGAATGTGCATTCTCAGAGGTGATGTTTCTGAGATTTATGTCAGGGTCACAGTTGGTGTTGGATTCCGTGAGAAGCATATGGAGCAGTTGAAGCCGATTCTGGTAGGGAACTGTAGCCTTCAAGGGCGATTGTTTGATTTTGTTTTGCAAGCCATGCAGCATTTGGTATGGCCCAAACCTGCTTTTGGGGGAATTGCTTGTGTTTGGAATTAGATGTGTTAAACTGATTTTTTGTTAGTTTGTTTCCCCATGGACTTCCCTGGGAAAATGTGGGCTCTATTCTGGTCCGCTTAAACAATGCCTGGGAACCAGAAAAAGAAAAAGGAACTGCAATCGGTCCACATTGCTGATCCAGTGTTAACATTTGTCATAGCCCCTTTTCAACCCAATGCAAGTCGCGAGACTTAGGCGAGTGATAAATTTTGGAACCATAGTCGTTTCTGGGGTCACAGAAAACTGACCAGTTGAGGAGACTCAACCTTACTATGTTCAATTTCTGTGTTACATGTGAGCTTGGCTCTAGATAATATGACTCGACACCTTTTCTGACAATAGTAAGTGTGGTGCATCCCAGAGCTGGGTTGAGCAGAAACGGTACTAGTCTCGGCTGCGCCAAAACACATGTTTCCAAGTTTCTGAGAGCACGACACTGAAGCCGAAGAAGAAGTTATGAGCGTTCCATGTTTAGGCGGTTTGCCCAGCCAGAAGACATGTGGGGTCTAAGATATGTTTGTTTCGGGTTGGGGTAGTCACCAACCCCTAAGGAAGCAGGACCCACAGATTAAGTTTTGCCCGTTCTGAGTAAGTCAGACGCTGGCTTGAAGGACCCTCCTCCAGTGTTTGGTGGTCTCAACATTTGGCAGGGCACAAAAATCAACATGATTTGAGGGAACGACTCTAGGATGTGAAAGAAGGTTGGATGAAGCAGAAGGAAGTCCAAATGAGAAATGAGATAATGACCGTTCCTCTTCCTTCATCTTTCATCTCTTTCCTTCATCTCTCATATGCCGGTCACCTATACAAAAGTGGTATGATGAAGGATTAGAGATGTAAGCCTTTTCTCTTCTCTGCCAGCCAATTGTCTGTTAGAGCTGCGTTGAGGAATCAGGCAGTGCTATGCCATAGATTGGGGGCCCGAAAACCAGCATCCCGCATGGGAACCAAGCCACTGGCCAAGGCCATATCCGTGTTCGTTGCATTGCTCGAGAATCTCGAGGATCCGGAACAACACCTCCAGCGCCATGTATATAATTGATACCTTTCACAAAGCCCTCACCATGTGGCTAGCTTTATCCTCCGTTTGGTTCGCTTTAAGCTTGTTGTTTGAGATACCCACAGAGTTTACAGAAGGTTCGCTGGCTGACGCTCCTTGCATGCAACAGATAGTCGATTGGCTCTGAAGCCATTCCAACCCGGTCCAGTCACCTGTCACCTGGCATGACTTCAATTTTCCGTTTACATTCGAGTCTCGCTTTCTCGCCCTGTTTATATCGGCGCCGCCATCTCACTGGCTAATATGCTTCTTTCCATTGAGTTTCTCCCTCAACCACCGTCCAAACCACCATCATGACATGAAACCTGCGCTCAAAACTACCCTCGGCGTTTTATCCCTCGGAATCCGCTCGGAAACACACACTTCTGCCTACTCCAACAGGACACGGCTTCTCGTCCATGTCCTTTTTGGGACACGGCGTTCTCTGGACTTTTTGGGGGACTTGTTTGTTTCCTTTGGTTGTTGGGTCGGGACCCACTTGTAGTCAGGGAATCACCAGTTGGATGGTTCAGCCCGGGGTAATTCGATGAGAACCAGGAAGTGGGTCAATGGGTGTCCAACAATTCTGGGACACCGGGCCTTTCTTGGAAAGGTTCAAGGAAGAACCCAAGGACAGAAGCACGGTCCTTTGCCGGGCCATTCCAGAAAATGTGTGTGGCTTAACTGAGGTTCGTTCTGTCCGCCAGAAGGGACCCGTAGCCCGGCCCAAATGAATAGGACCTTGGCTCTTCCTGGTTTTGGGGTGCTACTGGGTGAGCGCGATTGTGTGTCAATGGGTCAATTTGTTTGCTGAGCCCAAAACATGAGAAGTCTCTTGTGGTGTTCCCCCCCGTGCTTCTGTCCTTGGGTTCTTCTTTGAACCTTCCTATTCATTTGGGCCGGGCTACGGGTCCCTTCTGGGGGACAGAACGAACCTCAGTTAAGCCCAGCAAAGGACCCCCCCCTTGCCAGACCTGTTGGACAGCCACGGCTTTTCCAGATCGATTTGGCCAGGCTGCCTTCCACAAGGCCAAAGCGGAGCCTGGCAGGCGCGCCTCGTCTCCTTTTTGTAAATGGCTGTGGTGGTCAAAACCAAGATCCCATTTTTGGTTGGTAGGTGGAGTCACCACCCAGTTTAGAACCTATTTTAGTGGTTGGATTGGTTGATGTTCACTGGGGGCTAACCGATTTGGACTTTGACCCAGCGCCAAATCGACCTTTGGGGCAGATGCCCAGCATAGGGGTCCATGGTTCTAGATGAACGGTTTGCTTCATGAACTTCATGCCCATGAAAGCATAGCGCACTCACTGTGACGAGCTTAGATATTGTTGAGCTCACCCATCATCCAGGTCCCTTTGTCAGGGACTGTGTGTTTTTCTGGGTGTGTGCTTTGGACCAAGCCCTTGTTTGTCTCTTTTGTTTTCTCTTTTTTTAGTTTTGACAATTTCAAGCTTTGCCTAATTTGTCCGTTGAATTGTTCCCCGTATGAATCCCTGAGTTGTTCCTTTGGCTTGCCTGGCTGCCAATTCAAACCTCCTGGGGTTGCCAAACCCAGGAAGACGATTTCGGGGTTATATGTCTGGATTCTGGCTGGTGAATTCCAGCAATTAGCTTGCTGATTCGATGAAGTAACTTGGTTTGGAGATGGTGACAGTCGCTTGCCCTTTCATTCTTGCCGCCGTTTCGCCTAATTTTCTCGGTGTACGAGGCTGTGCCGGATGCGAGAATAATCATATGATGTGTGTGGGTATTTTTTTTCAATGAGCCACGTGCATTTACAAGTGCGCACTCATGCATGTTTGTTTACTCTCTTGCTCTACTCTTTGCTTACCCTTCTCGTAAAACACCAGGTGTGTTCTCCTCCTTTAAGTCACTTTAAGTTGACCCGAAGTCGTTCGAGGTTTTTGCCGCCAGGTACACCTGTCCGCTCTACAAGACCTCCCTGCGGAAGGGCACTCTCGCCACCACAGGCTTGCTTTCGACGATCCGGCACTTCCGGACTTCAAAATGCTTGTATATATGTCAACCAACCAATAACCAACCGCTGGTCTTGGCTGGTCTTTGGTGTGACCCAGTCACCTCGGAGAGACCTTTTGGAAGCAAATTATTTTTCCATGGAACCTACCAAAGGTGATCGACCTTTTGCTCGTTCGGGGGCAAGGAAACCCAGTTTGTTCCACTAGCCGACGTCATACCCTAAGATTTTGGGTTGAATGCAAGCGCGGGCCAGTGATGACTGGTTTTGGGATCAACACTTGGATAGATTGTTCCTTCAGCTCCGAACTTCCATTGAATATCCAACAATGACTGCACTATTCAGATCAGAGCCAGTTGGGAGCTGTGGTTGGAATGTGTGTTTGTGGTTCTTGAAGGTGCCCCTTTCACGCGGTCGGGGATCAACCCAGCTGATGCTCTGCCGACTGTTGTTTTGTATCTTCAAAAATGGTTCTGTTCAAAGCCCTTGAAGGGTGGGGGTCTCCATTGGAGGGACCGGGGATCTGCATTGGAGAGGTTGCGACCGCCACAATGAGGGCCCCAGTCCACAAAAGCTCGGCTCACCTGCTTATACCGTTTTCTGTATCTGTGATCAAACTCACTAGGCTGCTTGAGCCAATTTGAAGTGTAAACCACATTTTCTCAAGCAACGATACGGATCTTGCTTCCTGAGTGGATTGGCCAAAAAGTCAATCAATTTGTTTGCCATTCAAATGTTCCAAACCCAAAAAGAGTAAACTCCAAGTGGATCTGAGGGAGTGAGTTCCTATCCTGGTTTCCCTGGGGTCTATGCGTTGCCGGAGTGATCGCCATGCGTGAAGTACTTCAGCGGAGGAAAATGATCTCCTAGCACCCCAAGAAGGGAAAAAGTGTGGAAAATGATCTCCCAGCACGCACCAGCAGTCCACACCTACGATGGTGCAGAGCTGCCAAAGCTGAGCCGAAACTACAGCAAAGAGAGAAATTTAGGAAGCAAAGGACATGGTCCCCAAGTGCCAAGTGCCTGACAGGGGGCCGATAGTGCCAGGACATTTAGTACATTTTTTTACGGACAGGAGGGATAAATGGAATCAGCCCGTAACAACCATAGGACGATGGCTGTAGAGGGTCAGTCAGGTTGAGACCCCAAAGCCGACAAAGCGATTGCGAGGAGTCCAATGGAGGATGTTAGGACTTTAACTTTTTGCCAACAAACGGGGTTTCCATTAAACCACAAAAAGTGTTCAACTTTTAGCAGGGGAGCAGAAAGCAACCGAGACAGGCTTGTCCTTTGGCGGAGTAGTGGAGTGGGTAGGGGTAGCGGAGTAGTGTGACAAGCGGGTGTTCCTTAGGCAGTTCACCCTTTCAGCCCCATCTGGGGTGTTTCTCCTGCTCATGGTTAATAGTTGCTTCGCTCTTGGTTTCCCTGGTCCACCATTTAGGGACCCCCCCCCCCAGAGCCCCGGGGCAGGGTGAGCGGATCCCTTTTGGTAAGTTGGGGCCTTCGGACCAAAGGGTTTTTCTCCGGGAGCAAAACTCTCCCGCCAGGCCACTCCACCAACTTTGTGTGCTACTTCCACTTGCCCAGCGAAGTGGAGGACTCCGTGGGGTGTTCGGCACCAAATCTGTGGCTACAGATTTTTAACAGGGAACCGCCTCAAGAGTGGTTTGTAGTTACCTGAATCCGCAACGAAATGTCCACCAAATGGTCCCGAATTAAAATGCATGCCCATGCGAATGTACGTTCAACATTTGTTCGCAGCTTTTGTTGGCTCTCCTCGGGCCCCGATGTAGCTGCAGTTCTGTGCCTCTTAGCGTTGGAAAGGGTCATGAATAATAGTTTTTTTCTTTGGGTGTGTGTTCCCGAAGATTATGTAAACGGAGTATGTACAACCGCCCCTAGACACTTGACTTCGCGTGGACGTCACCGACTGAACACACGCACAGTGCCAGGCGGTTTTGAAGCTGATAGTACCCGCTCGCAGGGTGCCACCCATCAAAGAGGAAAACCAGCGTGCAGGGTCGATCCTTGTTTTGGATTGTAATTATAATGTTGGGGCCCAATAAGCCTTTCAGATTACTAGGGGCCGTTTCCCTGAAAAGCCAAGGATCCCCCCTTGGTGCACCCCGATTAAGCAACCGCTTTATTCATCACGTATCAAGTTTACTGGACCCACCCTTTTTGCGAAACAGTCCCCAATAAGAGGGGTCAATGATGCTCCGCCTATTCCGGTATGCACTTGAGCAGCTCTAAAAACCCCCCGTTACATGCCAAGCAAGAGTTGTGTCATAACAAGGCCCCGCGTAAGCAAAAGCCTGCACGGCGTAAGCGTGCGTAAGCACTTTTTGGGGAAACATGTTGCGTAAGCACCTGCGTAAGCTCTTCTTCGTGATTGCTTGGTAAGCTTTGTAAGCATGCTCGGAAGAGTTGTCCCACATGTGCTTATGCGTTTTTTGGTGGCTTGTGCTGTTGCAACCTAGCCGAGCTTGGCAACTTGCCCGGCTTTAAAGCCCCCTCGAGCTCAGCAGGTACGAAGGGATCCTCAGAAATTCCATCCGAGCTGGGTGATTTTGTGTGTTTCTGGGGGTAGGCAGCGACTGGTTGGATGCTTTTTGACCCACTCAGGCAGTGACTTTGGTAAACTCGGGCCATGGTCTGTCAGGATCAGGGCCACTGGGTGCGTCGTGGCGTGGCACTACTTTGCACCCTGGCGATACGGCAGAGGTGGGTTTTCCTACAGGACCTAATAAAATGGTTTGTTTCCCTTTGGGATTCACTTGAAACCAACACCAACAGGGTCTTCTCAAGAAAAATGCCCAAGCGAAGGCAATGGGTTCTGCCCCTGTTTTGTTTTCTTCAACTCCGGCCGCCAGTGCATGTAATCGATGTGTTGCCTGCAAACGGGTTCCCTTCAAAATCATGCGAAGAAGGGTGCCCTAAGAACCGCCCCTTCTCCAAGCGCAACTCTAAGGTCGCAAGAAGGCCACCAGAAAAACGGGTTCAAAATCATCCACCGAAGAAGGGTGCCCCCTGTTCCCGCCCCTTCTCTAGCGGCACCCACAAAGGCCGCAAGAAGGCCGCCTGGTGTTTTCTTTCTTTCTTTTTTCAGCTGTGGCCACCTCAGGTTTGGGTCAAAGGTGGGCCCGTTCCTTTTAAAGTCAAACCTCCGCCATTCTCCAGGGGTGTTTCAAGTTTAAAGATGGATTTGCCCGAAGTCAACCGCCTGAAGTACATACAGTTGTTCGGGGTTCAACTTGGAAAGGGGGGTGGCCCGGGTGGCCTTCAACGTCAAGGTGCTGCCTTGCTTGTTTCTGCTTCCTTTTCTTTGGTCCCCGGGTGTAAGTACCGGGCAACGGGCCATTGGATGACCACAATCTTCTAGTGCTTATTCTCCGAGATCCTGGACTTCAGACTTTTTGGGCAGACCACGTGTGTGGCAAACAATCAGTTTAGACACTAGTTTGGTCAATCCACTCGGGAAGTGAGAGTAGGGGGATGACATTGGAGACTCTCACCAAATTCCCATTGGAGAATGCGGGTTACTCACCAAATTCCCCACTCAAAGGGGGACACAATGAAAGTAGTCTGTGGCTCAAGTGGTTCATCATTTCTTCTTTGGCTCTAGCTCATGACTACTCTAAAGTAGGGATTCCCCAATCAGCCCACTCGGAACGCCACAACTCCAGCCTAAGGGTCCATGTCGCAATGCTTGTGGGGTCCTCAATGTTTTCAATGGCGCCTCGGGTTCTCCATCTGCAGCATCCCTTCCCTGCGCGCAGTAAGGATTCACCAGCGAACTGTGATGGTCCAAGGGGCTGCTTGGGGAATCATGTCGCCCAGTGGGTTTCGGCGAGTTTTTTGCTGAAACCATTACTATGACTTGGGCTATAGCAAGGTCTATGTCAACCGTTGCCACCTTTGTAGAATTGTACAAGAGTCGATTAGTTTTGAATGGCGATTGCCAGGGGGAAACTTTGGAGTTCCCATCACCTTCCAAAAAGCAGCACCCTGAAAACAAGAAACACCCGATTACCACGCGTGACTAACTTCTACATATACAATATGAATATGTTGTGTTTGTTTGTTTTATGTATGGTTCTGGAAAGTAAGGTGTTGGCCATGTTGGCCCATTGAGCGACAACAATGTCACGTCGTAGGAACGGGGGGATCCGGTGCAAAACGAGCCCCGCAGAAGCTCAAGCAAACGCCCGAGTTCTCCGTTTGGATGATGTTCTTGAAGTTGAACACGTTTCCAATGCAATTACCCTGCAAACTCAGAGGGAGCCCCAAATGGAGGAGGTTTCAAACAAAAGAACTGGATGGATGAGTTTCGGGTACGTGAATATGCAGGGGATGGTTGACATGCCCGCACGGCTCCGCAGGTATGTTAGACGATTGAGCTCTCTGGATGCGAAAATTCGGAGTTCGGAGTTCGGAGGGCTCTTTGAGGGCACACCACACCAGACACGTAGATTGCTTCCTTTGTTCAATTTTTTGTTGCAGGGGGTTTTCTTCAACCAAGACAAAGTGTACCATGTTTCCCATCACTGGGGTTTGGGCAGACTCGACTTGGCCCGATTTCGTGAGTCGATCGGGCGCCCGCACTCCATCAGTGGCCACGGGCACATCCAGGTTGGCCGAGCATGCCCATAGCCGATGAGAGCCCAGATGTATCTCCTGAAAACTCACAGCTGTTCCCAGCCGTACTCTACTTGAAGGTCAAGTTCTCAGCTTTGGTTTTATTTCTAAGCGACTCGACAACTGGGTATGTGTCGAAATAGGGGGGCTCCCAGACTACTGGCTTTGCTTTTGCGTCACCTTAAACCAGGGTGAAAAGGGCACCAAGGTGTTAGTATGTGTTAGTGGCTCAACTTGGGCTTGGGGCTGTGCGAAAACGGCCGATCCTGGATTCAGCTCTCCCAAGGAGCAGTTGGCTCGCAGGTTTCACGCCCGGTGATTCACCGGCTTTCGGAGTCGAATTGATCAAGGACATCCACCTGGAGCCTAAAGACCTGTGGGGTAGACTTAGGACGCATGGATTTGCCTCAAGATGAGGGACCCAACAGAAATGGTTGGCTTCTGTTTGGTGTCCTATTCATAAAAACAAACAAAAATGGGCATGTGTCAAATTGGAGGGACCCTAAAGATTGTTGTTTGGAAGTTGTGGTTTCCCTTTTGAACCAACCCCCAAATCGGCGCCCTCGAACACAAACAAACACACACACACACACGGACACACACACACACACAAGCCCAGACACACGCAAGCACTGACACAGACACAAGCACACACACAGACACACGCAGACAAACACACTCACACCCACCCACACACACACACACACGCACACGCACACACGCACATGCACACCCACACCCACACCCACACCCACACCCACACGCACACGCACGCGCACGCGCACACGCACACGCACATACACACACAACACATAAAACACAACAACACAAACACGTAAACTCACCAGAAAACAAAGCATCATAATGCCAATTAACACAAAACAAACACACAAACAGGCAAGCGCAAGGAGCAAGCACGCGAGCAGACAGACAGACAGACAGGCAGGGAGGCAGGTAGGCAGACAAGCCAGCAAACAAACAATCAAAACCAACAAGCGAACAAGCAGACACACACACAACACACACACACACAACACACACACAACACACACACACACAACACACACACACAAATACACAAACAAATGCAAACAATCACGCAGACACGCACACACAGACACACACACACACACAAAAACAAAAGCAGGCGAACAAACTCACACACACACAACTACACACACACGTACACAAACACAAACACATGCACAAGCACAAACACACACACAGACACACACACACAGACACACACACACACACACATGCACAAACACATGCACACACACGCCCACACGCCCACACGCCCACACGCCCACACGCCCACGCGCACGCGCACGCACACGCACACGCACACGCACACGCACACGCACACGCACACGCACACGCACACACACACACACCACACACGCACACACACACACACACACACACACACACACACACACACACACACACACCACACACCCACACACACACACACGCCGGCACATACACACACACACACACACTTAGACACACACACACACAGAGACACACATACACTCAACACACACACAGACAAACATGGAGAACTGTCACAAACGTCTCAATTGTCACAAATGTCACAAGCACAAACGTCACAAACACAAACCCCAAAAACGTCGCCAGCACAAACATAAGCACGCAAACCCACAACACCCACGCACACACACACAAACACAAACACAAAGACACACACACACACACTTGCCAACACATGACACACGAAATACAGCACACACACACAAACACACACAGACACACCACAAGCACACCCACAAACACACACACAAGCACAAACACAAGCGCAAACACAAGCGCACACACACACACGAACAGGAACACAAATACAAACACAGACACACACACCACATCCCAACACACGACACACAACACAACACACAACACGTAGCACCCAAACACACCACACACACACACACACTCACGCAGGAACCCAAAGACCCGTTCTGCTGCAACCACAATCAACACCCGGGCAAACGAAGATTAGTAGACGATGATTCCAATCACAAGTAGGTGCTGATACCCGCCCTTTAGTCGCTTTACACGGTAATGGGTAGACCAATTGAATACCAGGGTTTGAGTATGACTCACTCAGGGATGCATATCCACCTCTCAAGCAATGTATCAAACTCACAGCGAGGGCCTCCAACTTGTTGTGCGAATTCAGTCTAGTTCGGATACCTGTTACGTTTTGCTGGTGACTAAAACCCAAGCAAACAAAAAAAACCGACTTAATCAATAGAGCCGTGCAACTTGGTCGAACAGGGTGCTGGCGGGAATATGCTGGCTATGTGTTCTGCACTTGGACCAAACAAACCCCTGTGCACTATTCCAACGGGTAGTGCTTTGCTGATGGGATTGCCTGAAAATGGGCAGGGCTTGACTTTCTAAACAAAAATAACATACCTGTGTCCAGCCACACACAAGGCTTTGAAACGGCTAAATTAAGTGACGTATTTGAAAGTCCAGTTTGGCCTGCCATTTGCCAGCCATTCAGGGGGGGGTCCTAGAGCAGGCTCATTTTACACTACTCGTACTCCAAAAACGGATACCCCCCCACTGCGCGCCAAAAACGAATAACAAAACCGCATGACACAGCCGTTTGGTGGATCTCCATGTAGGCGGTCGCGAAGGTATCCGAGCAGCAGGAT